GCTCCAGCGTCGTCCTCGACCCCGAGACCGACGTCGAGGCTGACTCAAGGAAGCTCCTATCCTCCCAGTACAAGGGCGTCGTCCCCTAGCCCAACGGCCGCTGGGACGTCCAGATCTACGAGAAGCACCAACGCGTCTGGCTCGGCACTTTCAACTCCGAGCCCGTCGCCCGCTCCTAGGACGTCGCCGCCCAACGCTTCCGCGGCCGCGACGTCGTCACCAACTTCAAACCCCTCTCGACGTTCAACCCCTCCGACGCCGCCGAGCTCGGGTTCCTGGCCTACCACTCCAAAGCCGAGGTCGTCGACATGCTCAGAAAACACACCTACGCCGACGAGCTCCGCTAGGGCAGGCTCGGCCACTCCAAAGCGAAGGTCGTTGTTTGGTGTCGATATTTTTAGAGGCGGAGATGAGACGGTGATGATGATGAAGAGGAGGGATTTGGATTTGGATCATGTGATGAGAACATCAAGGCTTTTTAGGAAGAAATTTGTAGGTCTTCTATAGTATTTTTTTTTTCAGAAATTTGTGCACATCGTTACTGATCATTGCAAGTGTAAATTAGTATTATGAAAGAACTGAATGAAAACTAGACATCCATTTCGTTAAAACGTTGAATTGTGATGGAAGAATTTTCAATGGGTCTGCTTACACACAATGTATTGTATTTGTAATACGTATGAAGATGTTTAGAAAAAATTTTGAGAGTGTTTGCTTGATTGTAAGTTTTTGCCTTCAAACCCCTGATTTTACTCTTAAACCAAATGGTTTTTTTTACGTGTTGATTGTTAAGGTTACGCGTTGCTTGTTAAGGTTATGGGTTACTTGTTAAGGTTATGCGTTGATTGTTAAGGTTACGACTTACTTGTTAAGGTTACGGGTTGCTTGTTAAGGTTACACGTTGGTTATTAAGGTTACGCGTTGATTGTTAAGGTTATACGCGTTGGTTGTTAAGGTTATACGCGTTGATTGTTAAGGTTGTGGGTTTCTTGTTAAGGTTACGCGTTGCCAAGTGATTTACGTGTAGCTTGTTAAGGTTACGGGTTGCTTATTAAGCTTACGCGTTAGTTGTTAAGATTACACTTTGGTTGTTAAGGTTACACTTTGGTTGTTAAGGTTACATGTTGCTTGTTAAAATTACGCGTTGGTTGTTAATGTTATATGTATTGGTTGTTAAGGTTATACGCTTTGATTGTTAAAGTTATGGGTTATTTGTTAAGGTTACGCGTTGCCAAGCAATTTACGTGTAGCTTGTTAAGGTTACGGGTGGTTTGTTAAGGTTACGCGTTGGTTGTTAAGGTTACACGTTGGTTGTTAACCCGTTACCTTAACAAGCAACGCGTAACCTTAACAACAAACGCATAACATTAACAAACAACCCGTATAACCTTAACAAACAACCTGTAACCTTAACAAGCAACATGTATAACCTTAACAACCAACCCATAACCTTAACAACAAACACGTAAATTTAACAATAAACGTGTAACCTTCATATTAACGGAATCCGACAGAAGTTTCAATAACCCACCACTGATATTCCACCATTACAACTAATTATAAGCCAATTAGCCCAAAAGTTATCTATATTTACATATAATTTCTTGATTATTCCGTCATTGGCAACTGATTATAAGCCAACTAGTCCAAAAAATTAACGATATTTACACATAATTTCTTAATTATTTCACAGTAACCAAAATATTATGTACAACGGACGGCCGTTAGGACTTCTCTGATCCCCCCATCTCATCGATACAAAGTTCAAGGAAAAAAACAAGAAAATTCAAAAAGAAACCAATAATTTGTTCCTTCTTGAAGATCTACGATCAAGTCCTACACAAATCCAGCTCTTTCTCCTCCTTTCCACTCCTCTCCTTGTGGCCTCCTCTCCTCAAAATGGGAAATCAAATTTCCCATCTTCAGCCCTGGAAAAAAAATCCTCAAAAGAAACTACAATGAATTTTCTTAGAATAAGTCAAACCCTCATCCCTCTCCTCTCTCCACAGATCCAAACCCCCAATCACTCGTCGTCGTCATCATCATCATCATCATCATAAAGTTTTTCACAATTCCTTCACTTCCCGCCACCAGAACCAGGAGCTCCAGCACTAAAATATTAATATTTTACTGTAACAGTGGACCCCGCCATTTTGTTTTCTTTTCAAAACTTCAAAGATGGCTGCTGCTTTCGGTGATTTGAAGTGAGGTGGGGCCCGCTCCAATTAATTTTCAACAATTAAGGCTGAGGCTGCATGCTGACAACTTCGTCCTCCTCTCCCCGGCCCTCGAGCGTTGGAGAATGGCAGGAGGAGGGCGGCGGCGGCGGGTGGAGAGGTGGGGGAAGGAGGGAGAGCAGAGGGATTGTATGGTTAGAGAGAAAGAGGGGTATTATAGTCTTTACCTGTGTAAAATTCTTGGGCTTTGTGTTTTGGGGTTCAGAGAACAAAAAGTTTATTTTTGAGGGTAAAGCACCCGCTGAAAAAATCTTGAGGGTGTGAGGCACGTTTTCTTTTGTTTAGGGGCTGGAAGCATTTTTCCCATACCGAATTCTAAGATACTTGAAGACAATCCCAAGACATGGATTGATATTCAAGAAATCATCAAGCCGAAAACTTGAAATTTACACTGATGCAAGTTGAGCTGGAGAGTTAACTAATCGAAGATTTACCACTGGGTATTGCATATTTGTTTGGGGGAATTTGGTGACATGGAGTAAAAAGCAAGCTGTAGTCTCACGAAGTAGTGCATAATTTGAATATCGTGCACTTGCACTCGGAATTTGTGAAGGAATGTGGATTCAAAGAGTGTTAAAAGAACTGAAGGTTGAAATAGATGGGTCGGTTACAATGCTTAGTGACAGCCAAGCAGCAATTAGCATTGCTAAGAATCTTGTGCATCATGACAGAACAAAACATATTAAAATTGATCGACACTTCATCTCTAAAAAAGTGAATAGTGGCATCGTTCAACTACTTTACTTTCCTTCACAACAAATTGCAGACATCCTCACCAATGCACTTTCCCGAGCAAACTTTGAAGAATTAATCTCCAAGCTTGGTTTGTATAACATATACAACCCAGCTTGAGGGGGAGTGTAGAATTGTATATTGAGTTAGACGTGTATTAGAATAGTTTTTATTCTATTTTTATTATATAGTTAATTCTGGAAATTAGTCAATACCAGAATTTAGTTAGTTTCCTTGTTTAATGGGATTCTCTAATTAAAGAGACTTTCTCGGTTGCTGTTTTGATTTCTTAGGATTTGTTTCCTATTTTCTTTGGCTGATTAATCGCCTATTACCGTGTACATAAGGGGCAAGAACCCTCGGTATCTAATAAGGAGAATTTCAGAATTTTCTCAACTCTTTCTTCAACGTCAAAGTTGCAAAGCTCACTCAAGGTACAGGTACAGATCTCAGCTCCATGGAAGTAGTCTAAACCAGCTACCTTTGGCTAATCAGTCAAAAAACATCATCCATGATGGGAAATAGATGTCTACGTATAGAAACAACTCTCAAAGTCTAGAAGATCTTCAGTATCCTAAGACAGTGCACATATCAGATAGATGTTATTACATATGCTGCTATGCATAGAATCACCTAATCTGGACCACTGACAACGACTGAACACCGTGTTTATCATCAAATGACTTCAAACTATCACCAGCTTTACTGTTTGTAAATTTTATAAGCTTTTCTCCATTTAATGCTACCAGTATGGCAGTACCATAACTACTTCACATCGCCTTCGAATTCATGCTACATGTATTTCATGGATTTTTAATGATGTTCTGTGCAAAGTGATCACTTTACAAGTCCTATGGATTATCGAAATAGTTTTCAAATTCAAGAAAATTCTATTTATCTTTGTATACCACATGCACTGGTTCTTGAGGTTAAATTTGCCAGATAACTTCGTCTTGTACAAGGATTAGTTCCACACTTGCATCCACCTTTAAAGGCAGATCAAACGTTTTGGCATCACCTTGTTCCCAAAGCCAAGTCAGATGCTTCTCTTCACGTCTCTCTAGCATAACCTAACAGTAGTTTCTCTTTTTACAAATAACAGTAACAAAAATATTGTGACTCCACCACATAGACTGATCTATGGAATATAAGGAAAGTAACCTTGTCCGGATCTTTTTCATAAACGCCATAAAATACTTCCAGCAACCCTTCCCTTATATTCTGACTGATACTGCACATTGCCAAAGAAGAAATGAACAAACTTTAAAAACTTCATCATAAGATTCAATAGCCCATAAATAAATCATGTAGCCATTTATCACAAAGAATTAAAACAAACATTTAGAAGTGTTAACTTTGAAACATTTTCAGAAGCAATTACTATTAACTTAAAGTACTTCATAAGATGCAACAGTTCCTATGAAAGGTACCTTCCCATCATTCCAAAATCATAGAAGATCAGCCTCCCACCATTGACATCATCCACAGCAATATTTCCTGGATGCTGCGATCAGAACAAAGCTCCTGAGCAAATATATCATGATCATGCATAACTGAAGAAAAAAATGAGATTCTGTACGAAAGGATAACAAACAGCTCGCTTTCTTCAACTAGCAGAAACACTACAACAATTATTCATTATTCTTATTACCTCAAAACAGTAGAAGTGGTACCACTTTTACTTATAAACAACCTAACTGCATATAAAGTGAAACCTGGCAGAAGCCATGCAAGTCAACAATAACGAATCATATTGTCAAATAAAACCTTCATTTACAAAGAAGATCTTCGGTGTCAAAACAAGCAGTATTCGCGAATCAAAATTGACCATAGCTTTAACAAGGAATTGCTTTCCCTTTCTTCCCTTTACTCAGGAATATGCCAATTGATTCTACTCAGAATAGATGGCAACTACATAAGGAACTGGCAACTGGTATTTTTGATAGTCCACTAATCAAGATAATCCAGTAGTCATGAATAGAATATCTTAAACGAGAAATACATTGAAACATACTACATAACTAATGATGGATCCATGTAAAGATAGACATTTTCTTACAATCAATTGACAACCTAAAACTCCAAGTTGACATCCACAGGTAATACAGATTAGAAAGTACTAGATGTATAACTTAGAAGGTTACTCATCAGGTAGAGAAGCTAAACTTAATGGTCAAGCATTGAGCACACGCAACAAGACAAAATGTCCATACTAATATACCACATGAACATGGTTGCATTTGGATTTATCCATAAACAGAATAAAACCAAAGACCAACTTGACTGAACTCCCAATATAAGTTGAAAAGGTTCAAAAGTTTCCGTGCAAGTAATTCTGCTCCTAGTCTTGGTGAGGCCCTATCATGATAGCATCTTAGACAACATCCAAGTATACAATATATGATCTATCTACTCAAGTCGCCTCCTGATATCAAAGGCCTTGGTTGGTTCATATTTTGAAAAACCAAAACCAAAAAAGGAGGAAAGAAAGAGCAATTCATATAAATGTAAACCATTTCAATTTTTAATTGAATAATTGAGTGATATATATATGGTTTCTCGGTTGAATACAACACTCAGTCATTCATGATTATATGACAGTAAACACCATCATATGCATTAGTCAAACTTATGCTATGAACACAACTCACTGGATCGGCATGGAAAAACCCATGAGATAGAATCTGTTCCAGATAAGATTCCACTGCATATCGTCCTAACCTGAAAAATTAGAACTCAAGGTTAAACTCACACACCAGGAAGCAAGCTCAATGAAATCAGGAGTTTATGATAACGTCTCTATGTGACCCAACTGAAATGTTAACCCCCAAGTGTTCATACCTTTGACGATCAACACCCAACTGATCCAACTGTTTTATCCTGTTTATTTTAATTCCAGGTACATACTCCATTGTCAGAACCTGTGGCCATGATACCAGCATTATAACATTACTTTTGGAAGACATATATCCTACATTTATCTTTCAGAAGATGTTTTGCCAACTTAATGAAATTGTTGAATTGAGACAAACCTGCGGGGTGGTATACTCCCAATATATTCTTGGCACCTTTACATAATCCAAATCTTTGAAGTTGTCAGCAAACTGTTCTGCATTAGCTGCTTCTTTGGTGTAATCTATTTCCTGATATAGACATGAGACTGCCCATCTCAGAAGTCAAAACCATAATCATCAAGCATTTTCCTAACTACATTGGGTCTGCTATGAAATTAAGTCAAATACTACAAAGCTGCAGTACAACAAAAAATTCCAGGAAACTATACAAATATCTTATCTTTAATACTTTAAGATAAAATACGCAATCATTACTTAAGGACAATGTCAGTCAATATCAGTTCTTAAAGGAAAATTTCCTCCTTTACACATCGATATAAGTTGGTACATTATTATAAACACATATATATACTAAACTAAATAACCGGCTTCAATTGTCTCATAACATGATACCCCCAAGAAAAGAACATTCCCCTGGTATGATACCCCCCAAAAAAGAACACTAACCTGGTAAAGGACACTAGCACATTCGTCGTAAATAGCAACCCAATCTCTCTTAGCACCATCAGACTTCGGGTCCACTTTCTGAAGGTATTCTGCAATTACCTGATATGAAAACGAATATACATTTATGGCCTAACGACAACTGTTGGTAATTATATTTCATATTAGAAAGCGACAAAGAAAGGACTGCCCACAACTGCAGCATTAATTCACCATGATAAAAGCAGGATGGTTGTGAAGATATGTCAAGTAACTTTGGACACCACAAATTGCCAACGTGAGCATATGTTAACAGATTAGGTGTTAAGGATTGGTTAGCGGGGCTATAAATGTCTCATTGATGTTTTCTTTAATCAATCTTCAAGACAATAGAGGGGACTGACAACTGATATATGTGTTATTACTGTATTCTCTTCCTGATTTCTTTACATACAGCACATAAGCGTGATCCACAGAGATGTACAAGGTATCAGCACTCACTGCAGAAAATTTCCAGCACTGCAGCTCATATAAACACATGGAGATTATCCACACTATTCGTCATGTTCTATACTAGTTCAACTTACAATCTTTTTAGAGATGGGCATATGAACTCCAAACTCTATGACTTTTCATCTACAACCTCCAAAGAGTATGTAGGTCATGATGATTGGAGTGGTTAACTCCATGAGCTACACATGACATTTTTAGGTGCAGCACAAAATCCTTAGGCAACTATTTGAAGATTACCTAGGGACTCGGCACTCTAGAATAAGAATTTAAAAATGTAAGGAGTCAGGCTACATCATTCCAAAATCATGCCTTCGACAATTCCAAGAGATGATCCCCATTATTCATCTATATATACACACATACATATATATAATTCAATATTTGACCTAGTGTCTAAAAAAAGTAATAGATCCACCATCATTCTACAAATTTGCCATGTTCCGTTGTGCTACCTAGCTTTCTAGCCATGTCAATCATTTCCAGAAATGTTGTACTAACCACAGAGTATTCCTGATTATTAAAAAAAAGTAATTGATCTGTCATCACGTTTAAGCCTAAAATCTCATCATGCACCAATTCATTGGCAAGTCAAATCATGTGTCATGATCTCCATGTCCTAATTTTTTCTATAAAAAGTTCTGCAATTTGTATACTTTTAACCATGCACTTGATTATAAAAGTCATATCAAAGCAAGTGGTTATAAAATAAAATTTCTCTATATGGTAGCAGATAAGACCATTTGATCCGTGGTGAATGTGTTCAACATCTAATCTTTTCAAACACAATTTAGAAAGGGAAATACCTATAACATTTGTATATTTCTTTCTATTATCTATAACAATTAACAATCAAGTTAAATCAAACTACGAATAAGGTTTCACAACAAAAGTTTAGTTTTGATCGCATGGGATAGTATGATGGGTATTTCTCAAATATTTAAGTAATGAGTTTCAGTTTTTGGGTTCAAAAACTAATTGGTGTTGAACCCAATATTACCAAAGAAAATAGTCAATGGGATAAGTAATAGGAAAATCAGGTTTTGCTTTGAACCACATATGTACATGGCGTGTCCATAGAGAACCCGGTTCAACAAGTGTCAGACATGGACACGGCATCCAAAATGCCATGTCTAAGTAACCTAGCTGGAAAGTAATTTGTGCCCCACGTACTTTAAATGAATTTAAATAAATAAATTTAAAATGATATGTTTATAAATAAGACTAACCCTCAGGTTCTTTAAATCTATATCAAATAGATCCTTTAGACCAGGTCTCTGAACTTTGATCACAACTTCCTGACCCTTTAAGCATGCACGATGCACCTGACCTGTAAACAACAGTTCAGTAACACATACTAGAATCATAGAGCACCAGAACTTCAGAAATGTAAACTCCTATTTATTATGTTAGCAAATGAGTATATAAGATTACCAAGACTTGCGGCAGCTATTGGCTCATAATCAAACCGATCAAAAATATAATCCACAGGGCTTCCAAGCTCTTCTTCAATAATTGACACAGCTGTTTCTGAAGGAAATGGAGGCACTTGGTCCTAAATAAGCATAGAAATCAATAAATTTAGTAACTTATCTGAAAAAGTTGCATCTATTAGTTCTGAGGGTGGAAATGCCACCATTAACTGATAAATACCAAGAAAGATATTATCGACAAAATGGTAACCACTTGCCCATCGAAAAAGAAGATATCATAAAGTAATGTTACAAAAATATATATACAGAACAAATGCTCTACTTGTGAGCTAAATTTTGGAATGAACAGGTCATGGACAGCTTTGTTGACAAAGTTTGTCCACAGCTATGCTAGAAGATGGGTTTTTTTAATCCTTTTGGAGTTGCAGCTGGTCTGATATATTAGGGTCACACAGTTCACCAAAGCTGTATGGAACTTAAAAATTATTATATTTCCCACACTATTGTGTATCTCTTCTCTGTTCCATAACTGTAATCCCTTGGGCATTGTAGACTGCTATTTTTAACATCAGAAAAGTTATATGGATACTTCGACCATTTGCTTTTCCATAAAAAATTGTACTCTTCTACGTCAAAATTTTAAACAAAAATTGTCGTTAAGAAAAAAAATGTTTTTACATGTGTTTATCTTCAAATGCAGTGCATGATTGCATCCATTAACATTCCATTTTGCATATATAACCCCTCTAAAAATGTGAATTTTTTTTACATGTACAACTCTGCGGAATGCTGAGTGAGGATTGTTCTAAGAAACTCCTTCCATATTCAAACATCTACTAAAGTTTTTTTTTTAACCTGCTCTTTGAACGTTAAGATCTAGTACCTATAATATGCAAGAAAGCATGCAACTGCACCAAAAGTCAGATTGCAACTAGAATGCTCGAAGTAGCAGGACAAAATAGATCACTATATTATTATCTATATTCTCAGATAAACAAGTTTGCAGCGAGTAGAATTCAATTATGGTTAGCAAACATAAAAGCGATTTTCTCAAACTACCTACAAAGGCACTCTCATAAGTCATAATAAAGAAAGATAGATTGACTGGCTAATTTGGAAGATTCTTTAAAATGCTCTTTTAAAAATAAGACTCCCAAGAAACTGAAACAATTATTGACCTACTACAAGTTTCCAAAGTAAAATAATTTCATATGTGCCAAAAAACCATAAATCATATCAACCAGTCATATGTATATCATGTATGTAAACGCTAAGTATTATCTTTAACTGCTTAAAGAACAAAACAGATATAGAGTTCAGAATATACTTGGTGTGTAATAAATTGTGCAAGTAGGCTGGTACAGAGCAATACAGTGGTGTAATGGGTGCATGAATCATATGGTCGACAAGTATTTTGACCTGAAGTTCGGACAGCTGATCAACATATTCTTGTGCAAGAATATCCACCCTAGTAGAAAACTGTTGCCCTATTTTGATAAATGTTGGGCCTAATCTCAAAATACTTTCCTTTAGCCACTTTGCAAGGGCTCTCCTTCTTACTACTTTTTTCTCCTCTGTCATTCCTCCTGCACATTTGCCAGTAACTCATCAAAAAAGATGTGATTTAATATCACTCTCATTCAGACTGTAATTTGTTAAGTTTATTAAATTTACAGGTGTACTCAAATAGTGAATTAACAAGGTGTACTCAAATAGTGAATTAACAAAACTCATGCAATGAAAGAACTAAGATTCTATGCTTTATACAAAACAAAAGAGCAGAATAATTATCTAACAATGTCAGATAGAAACAGTTTATATAGGTTCTCATCGCATTTCAAAGTTGTATGATGTATCCGATTAGGTAGTAGCAGCAGAGTATCAAAGTATGCATCTGGATGCTAATCCATTTTCGTATAATTGTATAATTGTTATCCTGAACTGTATTCTCGAATATTTTCTGCATTGGGAAAACGGTATGGTTAATTAGTAACTACATCTAAACAAGCAGTTGTTACTAATGATGTAATAATAACTAGACTCACACGAAAAATTATGTGCAGCTAAATCTTTCTATTCATGCATGATACATCAAATAGTATTTAAGGGTTTTAACACACTATTCCAGATTCCAGTTTGATGGGAAAAGCTGAGATGATGATAATAGTAGCAATGACATGCTAGTGTTGCTTTTAATAGTATACCAATTTAATCAGATTTTTAATGAACAGGAATTCTGTTGGACACGATAATATCTACTCTCTTCAGTTGGCTCACAGTAAGAACCATGCTGGCCACAAGCATAGGTTATTGGAAGTCGTTAGCAAGAGTTCCAAGTGACTATGTCAATCGAGGCTTATTTGGTAAAGAGAATAAGAGCATTTTGTACAACTGTTTTTATTTTTATTTATTTATTTTGTATATTTGGTGTTACACCAACTTTAGGAAAATCCCTCCTGCTTGCACTATGTTTATAAAGCCACATATAGATACTATTTAAGGATTATGTATTCCTCCTCAAGTTGTTTCGACTAAATTATAAACTTTTTTTGTCAGCATCTGCAAGACAAAAATCAATTTCTGTTTATAAACGTATTTAAAACTTCAAATGATACTCAAGCTCTTGCATCTTCGCAGAGAACACGGTAAAATGACCTCACTAAAATTCTGTAGAATGGAAAATGTGAATTCTGAAAGTCAAAGCATGATTATTGGATCGCCAAACGGATATACCATGTTCTAAATCTTAAAGTGCACTTTTACAAGAAACAAGTAACCTGCCTCGATAAGAGAACTTCTGGTTGTTTAGCCAAGACTTGAAGATAAAAGCAAAAACAAAACCCCATATTTCCAGAGTTCTTTGGATTGTTGAATAGGTTTTGAATCTATTCCAGCGTCCACCAGGGGCAACAGAAACCTGTAAATGGAAAGATATCACAGTTAAAAACAAGCATTAAAATACACAAGCACTCTAACTTGTTTACCGTGTCACACTATGCATACTACCTAACCGTATGCGATACAGAAACAATGTAAATATGATAGTCCTTTTTAACCACTTTCAGCACAATGATTCCATTACATCCTATATTTGTGAACTAAAGAAAGGGCACAGACAGCTGACACAGACAAGACTAGGTACTCTTAAGGCACAGCAGATTCTAGTAATGGTACATACATAAAACAAAGACAAGAAAATAGATGGTTTTTCCAACACATCAATACTTCACGACAGAAGTTTTGAACTACATGGTTTGTGAGAGATTATAAATGAAATAGTAGCTTGTTGAAACTCTTATAAGCAGTTGATTTAGCCTAGGGTTTGTCTTGATGCAGCTGAAAAAGGTGTACTAAAGCGCCTGAGGCTTTAGGCGATGCAAAGAAGATGCGACATATATCCAACCGTCTCCTCTCTCTCTCTCTACTCTCTCCTCTTCTCTCTCTCTCTCTCTCTCTCTCTCTCTCTCTCCTTTCTTCTCTCTCTCTTCTCTCTCTTCTCTCTGCGGAGCTCTCTCTTGGTAGACTCTCTCTTCACACGGCCGCTCTCGGTAGCCATTCTCTGGATACAGACATTTCCCTTACTAAGCTGTAACTCTGCTCCCGAAGCAAAGTTAGGGGTGTAGCTGAAAAAATTCGAGAAACAGAGAGCCGACTTTCATTACAGTTTAGGATAAACTACCTATACTTATATATGACAGAACAAAATAAACTAGCCCATCAAAATTCAATTCTTGTTATAGCCAAATGGAAACAATAATAACAAAATAATGAAGTAAACAGGCTAAAACGAATTCCAATGTTTCTCTTACATACCTCGGCGACTGCGGCCTGTGCTTGAACCAGGCATCCTCCCTTCCCAATTTCCTCAACCCTTCTTCCTCCTCTCGGCTCGCCCCCACCGCTCGCCCGCCGCGGACGCGTTCGCTTCCTGATACTACACAACACCATTCCCCGTCCCGTCCGTTCACACAAACCTCCAACGACTTTTCCATGACCGTACCCTAGCCGTCTCGCCGTCCATTCCCATTCCAAGCCGCTAGGAATCACCCCCTCCCTCTCCGTACCGCACTCGATCTCCTAGACGCCGGATCTGCAGAAGAAACCTAGACGCTTCCGTCGCGATGAGACGAGCGGACAGTTAGCAGGGAGTTCGCTGGCGGACGGAGAGCGAGAGGTGTTGCTCGACGGGGTGCAGGCCGAGTGGGCGAGCTGCCGCATTGCCTTAGGGTTCTGAGAGGCGAAGTCTAGGGTTTTGGAAGTAGTCGTTTGAGTGGCACCTAAATTTGTGAGGAGGGGAGGGGGACAGAGAGGGGAAGAGGAGTGAGGAAGGAGCGGACAAGAAGCAAGAGAGAAGAGAGGAGGTGGCGGTGTTGTTGAG